GGAGGAAACTCGGATCGCTGCATTTATTTCCGCAATAATTACGGCGCTCGTCTGCGCGACTCATAAACGCGTGTTCGAGCAAGCGAGTCGACCAACGAAGATATTCAACCTATTTCTTATCTGATTAATAGAAACCTATGTATATGTTAATACTTTTAGAATTTCGCACTTTAAAATCAAATGAAAATTTAAAAAAATCCCTATAAATATCTCTAAATAAAATGTCTAAAAATATATACTTCTTATACTAGAATATAAATATAAAAGAATGTTTTTATCAACATTTTCTATGAACATTTTATTCCATGCAAATACGTGACCTTTTCATTAATCTGATTCAACTCAGTATCTTTGATATAAAGCGCAAAACGCATGAATAAAATTTTATATAAGACTTGTATCTAAATATCATCCAAATTTAAATTAAATTAATGATAAAAACGGAAGAAATCGTGCTTAAGACATCTGTTTTGGCTTTGATAGCGCTATATCTCTGATCACGACTGAATTCACTTTAATTACCGCGACAGAGTAAAAAAAATTATCTATCTACAGCCGTTTTTGTCCAAAGCTTTATCTTCAGCTACGGAAACTTCTGAACAAGAGGTCTATTTCAACGTAATGGCGTACATATAATCAAAGTTTCGAGACGCGAAACTTTTACTCGTACTTAACGAAAGATTTTTTTTTAGCTAGCGATTTCTCTCGATTTTCGAGAGAAACCGTGCACGTAAGGCATAAAACGTTTCCATCGCGGCGCGTACAGCGAGGAACTAAAATTGCCGTGTTTCCACAATAATCGGTGCGGCTTTCTCCTATTATGCATTCAGTGTCATGGGCGAACGTGAGGTAAAAGCCGATTCTCGATCGCGTTGCGACGCAACACCGTGTTTCGGGAACGTAGCGCGATTCGCGAAACGTATGTTAGCTGTTCTATTTTTCGATCGACGAGGAGGCATATGGACATCGTAAAAGGTAAGCGCAAACGTCGTAAACGAACGCGCACGTTCTCGGCACATCCGTTAGATTTGTAAGCACAGAAGGCGTGTAAAACCGTCGGCGAAGACGTGACCTCGTTTCGCAACGAGCGATCTATCGGATCGATACCGGATGGCGCGTCCCATTTGCGCGGTGGATCTTCTTCTCGATTATGACGCCAGTTATTTCCCCTCCTTCGAATGACATCCTGCCCGATCGGTTATCAGACTTATCCTGCTCGATCTAGAAATAGTTCGATTCTCGAGTTTCACGTCTTGATGAAATCGTATGATATTTGCGAGAATCGTGATCGATCGGACAATCGTTCGCTGCGAAATTTCAGACGACGCGAAAACTTCCGGAGTTGTAGGGACTTAACGGAAATTCTCCCATGAAATGCATTTCCGCGGGGTGTCTTGCGGGGGCGACGTAGGGTTCCCGGCAAAGTTCAGAGGTTGCATCGGCGGCGCATCGCGACTTTTATGGATGAGATCGTAGTATGCACGATCGTACAATTCTCCGAGACGTGAAATGTTTGAAAACTTGGGAAGTTGTGCGGCACTTGATAGAAATTTCCTCGCGAAGTGTATTTTCAGAGTATCGAGATGATGAAATTATAATAAACAAGTACCGAGTAGTGCTTCTTTCGCGACCGATGTCGCGATGTCCCGCAATTTCCCTGCAAATTTGAAAAAAAAATACTAACGTGACTAGATTCGCGATGTCAGGCTATAAATTACCCGTGCGATCCGGAATATGTAATCCCTTTAATCACGACAGGATTAAAGAGGTGACCCGTAATAACACGGCCATCGCACACGGTCGCGGGGTTCACTAGCTCGAGAGATCGCGGATCAGCAAGTCGATTCTTGTGGAATGCACATTGTTCATCTAGGAGATGCGGGGGTACCGCGCCGCGAGATATACATCGGGGTGAAACGAACGGGGAGAATGGTCGCGCAAATGAAATTCCGCACTCGCGATTTTCATCGGACTCTCTCTTTCTCTCCCTTTTTGTTAGCTTCTTTTATTTCGCCCCGTCGACAGAACACGTCCGCGGCAGCGGAGAGCATTTCCGGTCGGCGAGGCCTGGCCGACGTTGCGCCGGCGAATATTTAAGCGAGAGGAAAACTAACTCTCTCTCCGTATCCAGCCCTCCTCCCTCTTTTGCCCTCGCGCCGAGGGAGGAACGCGGGGGTGGCAGTGCGGTTTGTTTGCGGAAAAAAGTCACTCCGTCGGGAGAGCCGCAGCTGCGCGCATCACATTGTTTGCGCGGGTGAGGGCCAGAGCAGGATGCCGCGAGGGGAGACGAAGGAGATCGGATACGGTGGGAGGAGAAGAGCAAAAAGCGCGGAGCACACACGCGCCCGAACTTCGGCAAACATCTAGCGGACAGCCGCCGATCTTTTTCTCCCTCGCTCTTGATAGCGCTGGAAAAAGTTCCCGTCGCGTTATGAAAATGCTCTCCCTTCTCGCCCCCCCTCTCGCCCCAACCTCCTCCCCCTCTCGTTTATCGGCCGCGGCCGAATAGCGAGCGTTTGCACGCGTGCACTCGCGCGCTAAGTGCACGCCGCTAACGCACATTTCGTAAGATAAAACATTTGTTCGCAGATTTTTTTCCCCGTATATCCTCCGCGTGATTCCCGTAATGCACCGTCAGAATGAAACCTACGTCGGGTCAGCCTCAAAAGATTTACCAAAACCTTGAAATCTGCAAAATTACAACGTTCGTGCGTATTACTACTTAGCCCTTTGGTTGGATTTTTGCCGACGCAAATTTTCGATCTATAGCTGGGTATACCTCCATGTTATTATCCATTACGAACTAGTTTATTCGTACCGAAACCGTGCAAATATCCGTGCCATTCTCTCCCCGGCGCGCGGCGGTGTTTGCAGAATTCCGTACGAGTAAAATAGTACAAAGCTGATTCGCAATTGCTGCGCTGCGTATACAACGGCAAGCGCGTACTGGAAGTCAGGAAGGGAAAACTAAATAGACGCGGCCGATGGAAAACACGCGCGGCATATTATATTGACCGTCCAGGTCGCGATATGTGCAATGCAACGGCAATGGTATATATACTACGTTTTCTCCCTTTGATTAATTTTGGTAATTAATGACATTTACTCGGTGAATCGAGTTAACTTTGTACCCCTACATAAACGCGAATTTGTGGTGATAATAATTTGCAACAACATCTGACTCTCTGCCCCCTCCCCTCCCCCCTCCTCCGCAATAGTTTATTACAGAAAATATATTCGCGATATTGGCAGCATAAATTATAGTTTAATCAGGAAGCCCACATGTAAATTAGTATATGAGAAACAAAAGGAATTTTACAATCATTGAAAACGACTCACAATATCAGTATGATTGATCGTATTTTTTTCAATTTTTATTAAATCATTTTTATTAAGCGTTAATTATTAATTTTTATTAGAGATAAATATTTAATTGCATTATTGTTTTGCTATTTGGAATCTATATTAATTCCGGAATAACTTCTATGTATTACGCTTATATGTATCGCAAATTAATTAAAGTTTAAGAGCAAATCTTTTAATAAGATGTATAGAGGACGAGAAGAAATGATAAATTACTCGCATAAACTATTAAGTTAATTAAAGTTTAATTGATTTTCTATTTTTCTTTGTAAAGGAAATGATTTCTATCTCTTTGTGGAGGAAAATGATTTCTATCTCTCTTCGCGAAGGAAAGGATTTCGTGAAGGAAAAGCGGCAGTCACTCTCAAGTAACGTTCATGGGAACGGTCCTATATAATTTTCCCTTTCCCGTCAACTTTTCTCATGCACCATTCGACCTCGCACACAATTCCCGCCTTTCCCTCGACAAATTCGCGAGCGGAGTTCGCAAAATTCGGTCGCGATATATTCGCATCTTGGGTAAATCGTTGTTCGATTCCTCGCGGAGACGCTGACAATGTCCCCCGCGTGGCTTCCCGACCGTGGCCCGCTTTCACCGTAAGTAAAGCCAGCGACGGATTCTACCCCGTGACAGCCGGGATTCGTATAATCCGCCGGAATACAAATGCATCGTCAGTGGCGGCGCGATTGAAACTCTTCGAATTTCGCCGGCGTGGCACACACGACAACGCGATTGCGAACGGTATCTCGTAAATACGCCTCGTAAAAGCAACGTTACATGGTCGCGCGCGCTCCGAATTGGGACGCAGCTGCCGACCTTAAAACTTCAACGTCAGGATGGCGGGCTGCTCCGGGTCGCCCTTCCTCTTCCCTCCCCTTCGTCGCGGACACTCTCGAAATTACCGCAAGCTAATTTTCATGCGGGACTAGAGAACCCGGTGCAACATGTTACGAGTAACAGCAACGGAGGATTCTAAAGAGAAAACTCAACTGCAGAAAATTGTGATTATCATCGTATCTTTCGTGTCGTTAAACGTTAAGCGACGCACTTTGTGAAAGTTTATGGATGATATATCACAATTAGCCGTAACGTAAAAAAAAAGAAATCTTTCCAAGAAGTATTAGTTACATAAGTTATACAAAAATACATTCAAAGGTTGTCAATAGAAGAAAAAAGGCATTCGTTTAAAAAAACAGATATGCAGCAAAAGCAGTCTATATTTTTTGCACAAATTATTTGTTATTTTTTTCTATGAAATACTTTAAGATGTCCGCTTGTAAACTGTGTCGGTCTGTTGTCATGATAGTTATCAACAATTTAGCCAGTCAAGCGTGTAAGGTAAATGTACCGATGCCGGGACACTTAAGACCTATGTTTGAATATCTTTATAATTTTAGTTTTTAAATAAGTATAACGCGAATTAAAATCGAAGATAAAAATATAATACAAATATTTTTATCTTTGACTCTTTGATTTTAATTCGCGTTATAACTTACTTAAAGACTAAAATGATACAAATGTCAAGACACAGGCACGTGTCCACAAGCATTGGTACATTTACATAATTATAATATCCATATCACGTCGTATTAACGTTTTAAATCTTAAGCGAAAGCAAATGCTCTGTCATCCTTACCCATGTTTTTTCAAGCATTTGCTTCGATTCCTCGTTTCTCAACCGTTTCTCGAAAGTCTGGAAAAGGCATAGCGTCGTGAGTTAATTATAGCAGTGTCTCTTATTCGGAAAATCGGAGCGCTTGTAATAGGAGAGAATTTCGTTCGCTGGAAGTAAATTGACAAATTGCTAAAGGCAATTATATAGGAACCGTCCAAAAATAACCCGCGAATTCGTACACTTGTTATCCGGGATAAATCCATCAACGAGTCTCCCAGACCAGGAATCAAATCCGAATAGAGCGATGTGTCTCGACATTGATTTCATTAAGTATTGATTTTCCGGAGGGTGTGGATTCGGGGGGGGCCGAATATATGAATGCTGATGGCGAAACGCGCGGCTCGAGCTCCTATCATACTGTGCCACCAGACTTCGTGCATAATGTACAGCTTACCTTGGAAGCTACTTATCGGTGTCTTATCGTTGTCAGACCGGTGTTGCGGACAAAATGATTCTGTTCACAAATATTAGCTCGAAATTTTCACACGCCGAGGAGATACTGGGTGACTCGTATATCCTTCAACTAGATACGCTAAAATTACGGTCGATTTGTTAACTACCTACCAGATATGTGTTATCTATCACTATATAGCGCAAACGAACTATTTATTTTTACTTCGCAAAAACACGACTTTATACTCTTTAAATAGTACTTAATTATGTACTTTAATAGCAGTGCTTTAGTAACTTTACTCAGATTTAAAAGAATGAAATTTTAATCTATTCAAATACGATAACAAAAGATGCGTATCATGAATATTCATCAAGCTTAAATGGAGCGTCGTAACAAAATAAGGTAGCGCGGAGCGTAGAGAATCCAAACGCGAAAGAGCCAGACGGTAACGTACGCGTCGAAACTACGTCGACGTAAATTTCCTCCATCAACAGCGAACAAACGGTTCGTTTCAATCGTCAGTCCCGGCATTTCGCAATATTTTTATGGCCGTGCCCGCGCGCGTGCTCGTCACTCCCACGTCGAACGGTTATATCTCGGAACAACACGGGCCATTAATTGAAAAAATTCCGGCCGGTCGGAATCGCGGCGCGGCGCGGCGCGGTGCGGCGCCGTGGATCGGCGAACGCTCGTTTATGCATTGTGCGCCGCTGGCGAAAAGGAGAAATAAAGCTCCTCCTCTTCCAGGAGCTCGATTCAAATTAAACTCACTTGGAGGTTAATGCGGTATGAAATGAAAATTGTAAATCGCGCGGCCACGGCAATGAAAAAGTTTCGCACGGCCGACCGCGCGTCGATGAGGTTCGTTCGCGAGCGCGAGCGAACGATATTTCTTCCTCGTTCTCGCGCAAACACCCGACGGCTGTGCACGCTGCTTTTTCTCTGTTCTCCTCTCTCTTTCTCTCTCTCTTTTTTTTTCATGAAAGCGTCAAACGAGCGCAATTTCGTCGCGGGATATTTATCGGCGTTGACAGTTCCGCGCTATATCCTTTCGTTACTGTTCCCTCCGCATTTTGCTGCAAATTTTTCATTCAAACGATGCTGAAATACATTCTCTGTACGCGGTGTAATACCGCGAACAACACCGTTTATACGAGAATCAGACGATTTCTTTATACGTCCTCGACTCTCAAATGCAGTCTTCGTTTCTTGGTAATTAACCCTAGCTGGCCTAGCTAGTCACACTTATTTTCGAGTCATTAATTCGTCACACTCCGTGATACCGATCGACTTCGTCGCTTTGTCATTTTCATTCTAATTAATATTTTTAAGCTTGTAATGTAGGAATTGAAAATACGGAGTCTGAATAAGATGTTTATGATATTTATCAAGAACATGATTCGAGTTTAAACTGAACTTATTACAAGGAAACTAGAAAATTATGTAAAAACTAGAAAACAGAAAAACGTTCAGCGGAACCAGAATGTTCGAGCTAGGATTAATTTTAATCGATACAATAGTCGAACTGTTTCGAAATGCTATAAAATTAGTCGATCGATTCATCATTCGTTTGCGGTAATTTAACTCATAATTAGTGAGATAGATGAGGAATATTACTCGTCGTGGTGTTAAGCAGCATTTCTCGATGCACGGAGCTCGACGATAAATGGCCGCAGTCAAAACTATATCGGCGGATCTTGGGACGTCCGGCGCACGTGCGTGACGAGCGGGAAAAGAAGAGAGAACGACGAAAGGGACGGTTCGTTCGCCCGGCCCTTTCTTCTCGACCCCCTTTCTTCCACCTCGTTCCATCTCCGCGCCCCGTCGCCCTTTGCGCCGCGTTACGAAATCACGTTGAATGTGGAACGATGCGCGCTGTCATCCTACCTTCTTGCCACGCGCGCTCACTTTCACGAGAGCTTTTGGCAGCTGACGGTCCGCGGTCCTGACGGCCGCGGCTAAATTTGGAGAGCCGAGAAGGTGATGTATAAGCTCTTCGCTGTCGCGCACGTGTTTTGCCTGCGAACATCGTTGCGTGTAAGAGATGCAGCCGCTGGGATATATATATATAAATACCACGGCTCGTGCGGTAAAAACGGAGAAGAGCGGCGGGTTGAGGGGGAGTGAGTCATCCCTTTGCGCGCGCCGATGTTCATTCATGATTTTTTTTTCCTTCCGCGTTCGGGGACCGATAACCGTGGAAAGTACCCGTGCTGTTATCGCAACGGCACCCCACAACATAATAAGATGGATATAACGAAGAAAACGAGCGTCGATCGATTTTATGGATATGACAGAAAGTATTATATGTATATTAGGTAATGTCTCGATTTTAAGTTTTACGAACGTTCAATGTTTATACAGTATATTCTAGATTCACCTATAAGAATCTAATAATAGAAATAAGTTCGAAACGCGTATCTAATAAGTAAAAAAAAACTAAAAATTAGCGATAAATACTTTTCCCGGCACTTTTATACAAGATAATCTAGTAAAAGAAACCTTGCAAAGATAAAAAAATATATGTCAAGTACATAAAGAAACATTTAAAAAAGACATTATTGAACAAAAAATTAATCGTTCAAAAATAAATTACATCAAGAAACGATAAATATAAACAAAAGATAATTTCATAATTGATTTAATGTCACATTCGAAGCTTCTCGCGAAAGATCCGTGACGCACAAAGATTGCTTTAATCATATCCGCAACTTGTCAACTGTAGAGAGATTATTCATGATGCCGACAATGGCTGCATTTCGAATGTTCTTGCACATCTCGTCGGGGAGCTGGAAGCTCCCGGAGAGATTCAGAGCAAGCGAGGGCAACAATGCGAGCCGAATCAGACGAAACGTCCGGGTTCTTTCGGCTCTCAAAGAGAAATCTACCATATACCCGTATGCATACCTGACAATAGCGGCACGTGGATACAACTCTGTGTATACCTTACAGAACAGCTCACTATACATGGCGTCTGATCCATGACGGGGAGATCGAAAGAGGCACGGCAAATAGAAATGCATTGTGCGTGCATGACGTATACTTTAATAGAGTATCGTATCTTTGGCTCGAAAAATAGAAAAATAGAAAAATACACAAGACATCATATAAAAGAGACATTTAACGTATAAAAAGAGTGTACAAAAATATCACTGTTGTTTTAGTCGATACTAGACACTACAGACGCGCGCTACGCGCGCGCTATTTATCTTTAACATTTCACTATTAACCCTATTATACACAACTGTCAAAATATACAATGACAGCTGCAAATGAAGTAAGCGCAGCAAGAGAACCAATCGGCATCGCGGAAAAGCGGCAACAATAAACTTCACATCTCCTTTTTAGAAGAGGATTGTTGATAGGATAAATTAAAAAATAGCTGGTTCGTGAAAAAAAATTACTTTATTTAGGATCAAAAATATTTTGCCGTGATGGAAAAAATAATGGGAAACGGAAAATGGAGCAAAAGATAATAGAAGAGCCGTATAGAGGTTGCGATTTTTCGTAAAAGACCAACGAACGAAAACTGCGAAAATTGTACGGTAAGCAGTTATACACGCGGTAAATGTACGGTGGGTCGCGTTGAAATACTGATTCTCACACGGCGGGTAGAAATAATATAAAAAAAAGGTGTCGTAAAGTGATATAAACGGCCGCCCGATGAAACGTGCTAAATATACGCCGCTCTGTACCGCCGGTGGTTGATAACTCCCACTGTTTTTAATCTTAATGCCACGTGATTTACTCCTCGTGAACTCTTGCACTTTGGCGACCTTATAAACGCGGCCCGTTCTCGCTCGGCGCATAAAACACCGACTGCACAAAGGGGTTTCGAGAGCCACTTCACCGGCTTGATAGTGCGACACAATTGCATTAAAAAAAGTCATCCCGCCACTCCGTTCCTTCGTCCACGCATTCACTTTGCTCCAGTAAGTGCCCTATACGCGACGTGCCCTTTATTCTTCGTTCTTGAACGAAGCGTCAAGTAAAGGGTTGGTGTCTCTTTACCAAACAAAACCAAATACTTCGAATCAGAAAAAATCGGTTAATTAAAGTAGCTAATTTATCTGCCGTGTTATATATTTAACGGCGGCGCAATAACGTCACAACTGCTCTACTATATTTTCGGCGCCTCAATTAAAGCCGTTGCCAAACGATTGCCCGCGGTTTCCTTGGAATCGCTCCTGAATCGCACAGTCCATGGTTGTCAGAAAGGAGTACGTGGAAACGAGGCTTGATTTTGGCACGGGATTTAGTCTAACGATATCCATCGCGCGCATATGAAGCTGAGCAAAACGAAAGCGGTGCAGTGCGCCACGGTGCTCCGGTATTTTCGAATCCATGGGCAAGGGATTCGCGAACACAACCCCGTTATTTTTAGAAGATGAAAGGGAAGGCAGAGCCTCGCGTCCGAGCCTGCGACATGCGAGATGGCTCGGAAAGCTTATACGCAGATTGTAAATATGTGAGCTTTCAAATTCGGTTTTATATCAAATATCTTCCCGAAACATATCGAAAATATATTCTTGCTTATTGAAGACTAAATTCATATTTTTTTCTCATAAAAATAACTAAAAATTTTAACATTGTTCGTAAAGTATGTATAAATTCTTTTGTTTAA